TGATCTAAAGTGGGTTGTTAGGTGCTAATGAGATATGTTAAAATTCTTCAAGGGAATTAGTAGTGACAGCTTTTGTTTGTTTTTAATGCTGTCTTATTTGCTACATATTTTCTATTTCTAAAACAATTATGGAAAATGATAAATTATATGTATGAATTTAATGTATGCTATAATAATATAAATAAATTTTGAAATATATATTAAAAGAGTATATCTTATTTGTGAAAATATGATTAAAATATAAAAATATTAAAATTATGTGTGAACGTTAAGCATGGTGGTGGTTGTCTCTGAGAAGTATGATGGGATAAGATAAGATATATAAGATAAGATACATATATATACAAAATATGTATATTTATATATTATTTCTATTATTATACATTTTGTTATATAATCTATTATATATGTATCCTGTATATACATATGCATAAAGTATATAACCTACATTAGATATACATATATAGTAACTATTCTATTAGAAAAAAATTTAATAACAGAGGCACAGCTTACAACAGAGAGGGGACTATATAAAAAAATCTCTGTGGTCTCAGGATACAGAGAAAGACTTGTTCCCACAGAATTAGTACCTTTTTGGAAAATAGCTGTTTAAGGTGAATTGTCGGATGATACCAGGATTTCATTGTAAAGTGGAAAGTACACAATTAAATTCTTATAATATAAACTAAGCCACTATATTAAGAAAATAATTTGTTTTAAAGTCTTCTTTTCCCCTTTAAAGTCATAAACTAAGTAGGATAATTTTTAGTTTGACAAAAAGAGAGAGTAGGGATTGGAAAGATAGCTTAAAAACGCATGAGCGAGATTCCGAGCTCCATACCTGTATCATATCTCCCTCTCCTCCTTCCATTACCCCAAATGTTCCCAGTATCCTTTGGGATGTGCCTGGTTGACTCCCAAGTTCTACAAGGCTGATCCCTACACCATTAGACCTGATCATGGAAACTTCAGGTTCACGTTCTTTCCAACCAACACGGCAGGGTAGATTACCTCCAGCCCCCTGAGCATCTCTGAGTATGACCCATATGAAATTAAATAAAAAGCAAACATTATTCATATTTAATCTTCAAAAATAAACCATTCTGTTCTATGAACATTATTAATGGCCGTATTTGGTAATATACGTGTGTGTCGTTGTAAATATGTGTGTGGATAGTTAGATAGACATACATGTCCAGAAGTTAAACAAAATATTCCTTTGTTTCTCACTTCCTTAAATATACAACCAATTTGTTAAATATATATGTATATAAATACATATATACATACATATATATATACTCTTTCTGTTCCAATTATACCTAGCTGCAGATTTTGTAATTTAAACATGAGTCAAATATTTAGTATGTAGAACAAATAGAGATTGCTAATATTTGTTTAATTTTCAGGACAACATGAACCAGAGATGTGACTCAGAGATAGAACACATGCCTCTCTTTTATGAAGTCCTGGGTTTATTTCATGGCACTGTAACCACAATGGAATATAACCAGAAATGCCTTCTAGTCAAAGCAAAATGACAATAATATCTTGCATGTTTTACTACTCTTCTTTGATAACTAGTCGTGCTGGTAGTTATGCAGCTTATCTTGATCTTAGAAATACAAGCAATGCCATTTGACCCTCTTCTTTTGAACTTGTAAGGACTGTTTACATAGTCCTTGAAGATCTAAGAATTTCAAATCCTTTGCTGTTTCAGTGTCTTCCAAGACTGTGTTCATGACTACAAAGAGAAATGATTTGTAAAAAGATATTTCACAAAATAAACAAACTTGGAACTACACATCAGCTTTTATAATTAATTCTATACTTTGGTCAAATGTTTCGAAAAATACAATATTCCTCAGGGCTATAATTTTATGTATTAATTTGCTTTCTTAAAATCCTATTTTAATTTTTGCATATATATTTTGGAAATTATTCATTGCACTTTTTCAGTATCATTTTGATTTGATCACAAATGTATACTACTCATGTCCTGCCTTAAACATTTTTTCAGTAAAATCACTCCCACAAAGTTTCAGGTGATGAACACTTATACTTTTATCACTTAACATCTGGATAATCTTTAAATGAATGGTAGTATCTTTTCCTACCTCTATAATTTTGAGAACAACTTTGTTTTAGAATCTTACCTAGTTAAGTCAAACTATTCATAACTTGTAGTAATGTAGATGAAAGAGCAAGATGGTGTTAGTAGGAAATATGAACAGAAAAATCATTAATCATCGCATCAGTATGACCAGTTATTTTGCTTTTGTTGTTGCTTTCGGTGTCTGAAACTCATGAGTCACTCAATGTAATGACATTCTAATAATTATTACCTTAATCTGATTACAAAATCCCAAGAGCTTGACGATTCAGAAGAATTTGTTCAATTTTAACTGAGAGCAAGAAGTGAACTATAACCTAACACTTTAGTAGATGCAGCTCTACTATCACCCTTTTGCAGAGACAATGATATCCCTGAGCTGATTATTTCATAGTGAAAATATAGTCTGTAGACATGGCAGTTAAAATATTTCAGCTAAATAGACACCACCACCCTTTCATCCTCAGATATGTTTCTCATGACTTCATCAGTCACTGAGCTATTTTTCTATTTCACAAACATTCCTAGAGCGTTATGGAATGAAATGCCTCATCTGCCACAGGTGAGTGTTAGGAGTGAACTTTCAAATCATTGTGCCCGTAGTTAGAACTTTCAGTATAGAAAAATAAAACATCATAGCATGGTTTCAGTATCCAGTCACCATCTTTCTTCAAGTCACCAAGAGGTCAGAGGTAATGATATTAAAACAAACATACCCAAATAACAACTTATTAAATCTTGGAACAAGACCAATGTGCCCAGTTCACAATTGGTTGCTGTTCTACTGGATTTAACTTTAGAGAAAAGCATAAAATAGAAGGAAGAAAATCAGGGAGGAAATGTCAAGGGGAAATAGCAATGGAAATAGGATATTATATTTTGCTAGGATATACCAGGGCATGTAAGTATAAAGTACTTGGTTAGATCCTTGGTTAACCCCAAGCTCTAATGGAATCAAAAACCCAAATAATGGCAGGATTTATGAACATTCTGGTAATTCATCTTTTTGTCTTTTTTCTCCACAATTCAAAATGAAAATTCTAAGGTAATTTATTACTCCTATTTTACCACTACTAACTAAATCTATTCTATAAATCTTTTAGCTGAATGCATTAAATTCATAATTTACCACCCTAAGTCACAAAATTATATATGTATATCATACTATCTGAGAGAAATTCAGAACTACTAATCTAAAAAAACTCCCTGTACTCAGAGAAACAATTAATATTTTCTGTTCCTCATTTTGCTCATCTTACCATGATCTCTAAGGTCTCTTCCAGTCCTAATAGTTTGTGATTTTATGGGCTTAGAAAAAAAAATGAAGAATGATTTTCTTCCATATAAGAGGCCTTTATTTATGCCTTCTAAGATACTAAATGCAGAATATAATTTGAGTTTTACCTTTGCTATGGACCTTTGTATTACATAAAATTAAAAAAAATAAATTCTTTAATTTGATTTCCTTTCTGCATTTTTCCCTTCTGTTGTTAACATTCTTCTCAATAGATGGTGCTCTTTTCTCAGAGACATTGCTTTTCTTTTTCCTCATCAAAAGGCCAGGAAAATTAGTTTTACTCCTTAACAATTATTAATTGAAGAAATAAGATATATAAATAGAAATAATTCCAAGTAACTTGCAGCATCTCGACCATGAAAGCTAACAGAGAAAATGATTGTTAAATGTTGGAAGAGCTTCATAAACAGCTGCAATCATTGCCAAATTGATGATACATCTATTGTAACTAGATATTAAAGACCCAAATTTGTTAATACATATAACTCTTAGTAGAAGAAAACTCCAAGAATCACATGTCTACTGAATATAAACTCAATATCTTATATTGACATGTAGGATTTGAACAAACACACCTACAATAGCACGTGTACATACATCTCAAGTAACAATGAGAGGTTGCCCACTCTTTACTAAATAAACCTGAAAATCTGGGTCAAGAGAGGCATACATACTCTTGAAATACTTTCACTCAAGAATCCACTTCTTCCTTCCCCCTCAGAACAATCAGGGCACTTTCTAGAACAACAGTTTATAATCCAGAATTATGCTGCGTTGGGTTTACTATTCACTGGCTCCAACTTTTTTAGGCATTGAACAACCGTCATATTCTTCAATTCTCTGTATTGCTCCCCCCTTCCCCAACATACATCCCCATTTCAGGAACAGGAAGGGAGACACCCTTAGCAATCTGTAGCTGCCAAAAGTTGCAAATTGGTCTGGGCACAATGTCATGCTTGTCACAATGATGCAACACCAGGGATAACAGAGAAACTTCATCACCACACGTGGTCTTAGGAAGACTGGGGTTAAGGTTAGTCTGAAAAGGCATGTGGAGGGTAAGGTAGCAAAGTGCATCAACAAAACAGGAAGAGAAAAGTTGCAGAGTTCCTCTTCAAAGAAATGAGAAGACTCAGTCCCCAGTCAATAGAAACTACCTAGAATCTTCAACTATTATACACTCATTTCTCTTTCCGTAGCTCTCCTGAAGGGACTGTGTTTAGTGGCCCTCATCACGACTGCTCTTGTTATTGATCATCATTATTACATATATTTTGCCAGTATTACATCTTTACCAAAGCAACTTCGCTCTTCCTGAAATTTGTTTTCTTTCTTTATCAGTGTGTGTGTGTGTGTGTGTGTGTGTGTGTGTGTGTGTGTGCGGTGGGGGGAATCAGAACATCAGCTTTTGCATGCAAAGAGCATCCCACCTATCTACCAAGACCCCAGTCTCTCCTGGACTCTCCATCCACTCATCCTCTCGCTGAACACCCTGCTGGGGGGGGGGGGGCGGCGAAGGGGCATCAGAAGTCCCTTGACATCCTTATGAGCAGCTGGATACTCTGCACGGGGCCCCGGCGCCCTCCTTACCTGACAATCACAAACATGACCAGCAAGTTTCCGAAGAGACCCACCACGCACACGATGGAGTAGAGGGCCATGATGATGCTGGCGGTGATGATGGAGGGGCTGCCGGTCGGGGGGCACAAGCCGTCGCTCCTGCCCAGCTCAGTGCTGTTCGGACCGCACGGATCCGACCGGTTGCCATCTAAGTGGGAGAAGTTGACCCAGGAACTGGGACCAGGTGCTGGGGCGCAACTGGAAGCGCGGGCGAAGGGGTCGGTGCAGTTGCTGGCATTCACCGGGACGCTGCCGCTGTCCATGGTGCTGACGGCCCGCCGGCGGACGCCCAGAGAGAGAGAAGGTAACTGCAAGCACCCAGACTTTTCAGGTTCCACGCGCCTCCCTGCCTCTGCCGCGTCCTCCTGCTGCAGCTGCGGTTCCTTAGAGAAACCACAGAGGAGTGTCGGGAGAAGGGGGGAAGTGAACCTCTGACATGATCCTCTGCTGGGCGCCCCCTCCCACCTTAGTAGTAGGGAGGCGCGTCCGCTACCTCGCAGCTCCTGGGCGAGCGCGGGAGGACTGTGCGGGAGTCCAGGCTGCGGGGGAGGGAGGGAGAGGAGTAAAGGGGTGGATTTTGCGCAAAGAGAGGCAAACAGTACGTCTCCCTACTCGTTACTCCTCGGTTCCAGCACCCCCAAGGAGGGGCAGACGCGGGATGGGATTTGCATGGGTAGGAGTGGGAAGTGCAACAATTTCAAGCAGCAATAAAGCACAGGCAATGGGACTGACGTCCCTCTATTTTATCACTGCATTTTTGTTTCTCTGTATAACGTGCCAGGACAGACATTGGCGTGATGCAACTGTGTCAAGACTTACAACCCAGAGTCTTTTCATCTCCATTGCCTATGTGGTGAACATTTGGGGCAGGAGGACACAAAAAACGTTCTTCTTGTGTTTTCTGACCACAGTCCCACACACAAGCTCCTTTCCCACCGTCCGCCCAAGATAACGCCTCGTTTTCATAAATCCACAACCTTTCAAAGCTGCAGAAACAAGAGTGATCTTTGCTCAGGAAAAGAAATGAGACAAACTTTTATGTCAAATGTATTCTCTTTTTCCCTTATTCCCCTCATTTGTTCTAAGGAAGTCTTTTTTTTGCATATGTTTCTCTCCTGCTATGGAAAAGACACAAGAACATTACAAAAATGAAGGGACTTTGGCTTTCAGGGAATTTGACGGAAGATAATGATGTTCCTCTTTAACTTCAGTCTTAGAGATCTGTTTGTAATTATTGAAAATCCATTTTGTCTCTAGACTTTCTTCAAGGACATGTGTTTCTCACTTCAAGAAGTTTTAAATAAAGTGCTTTTTGCATTCCTTTGGTGTGTGTTCTAGTGAAGACAACTAGGTATACCTGGAATTGAAAGGGGGGGGCAGATATGGCTCTTGAGAAATATTGATACACTTTTTTTGGAGTATTTGAGATTTTGATACTTCATTTCTAATTCAAGCCAGGTTGACTTAGAAATAAATGAGTAAGCCAACCGGAAGTGGTAAATGCTAATTCTAAAGTAATTCTTATTTGTATACATAAGTATCTTTGAGTATGCTTATATTTTCTAACTATAAACACTGATGTTCAAAATTCTCAATTGGTGGTAGAAGTTACTCTCTTCCAGAGTAGAGAGAAAGGATAAGGGCATTCAATTTAATTATCATTGCAAGTCATTGAAAACACCTTATAGGTAAACTATACCACAAATTATTTTAACAATTTTCAGAATTATTGTATTTCCTTTACATTAGAGGGTAGAATTTTAGCAATACATTTTATATATCTTCTACTTATCAATATAAACAACTATTTCTATTATTTTTCCATGTTATTTTGACACATGTACCAGTTTTTTTATATTGAACTGAATTCTGCTTGTTACTGTTCAGTATCTTGAGGATACCTTTCACACATCAGAGCATCCTTCATATGAAAGGCAAGTTAGACTCTTAATGCCCTGACCTTAAAGTCAAATCATTTTGTCAACCTTAGGTTTGTGACTTTTTAGATATGTGATATTTTATATATTAATTTACCCCACTGAGTGAATATTGCTTATCAGTTTAAAAAAGTTAATAGAACCCAAATATGTCTATAAGATTTAAATGAGATATCATGCAATTATTAAAAAGCTCATGGCTATTATATATCACTTATTTAAAATAATAATAATAATAGCAGTCTCTTTTCAAGTTCAACATTGATTCCTCCAGATGTTTCTTTTAAGATTAGCAGACTTTTCTCTTCTTTTCTATTACATATAATTTGTATATCAGTTCTACAGATATAGTTACACAGCAGTGCCTAGAATTTTGCCAATCAATGAAAACTGAGCAAGATTATAAATCTTTTTATATCAGTGCAGATATTGTACACCTTTCTTTAAATTACCTTGCTCTTTTGATTCTTCTTGGATTTATTATATTATTGACAAGATTCCTTAAACATGATCTCAGTTCAACAAATGTTTCAAATACTCAATAGAAATCTAATTTGGACTAGATATTGAATTTTTTTTAAAAGTAAGTAAATTATTTTTACCCTGGAAGTTTCTTAGATATGAAGAATCCTGTTTTACTTTAAACATATCATTGCTTTAGGGAGATCCAAACAAAACACTATATATTTTAATTTTCTAATGCATATCTTATTTAATACTTTTGATGACGATTCATATTCAATGATTTTGTCAGTGTGCTTTCTGCTTTATGTGCATCATTAATTTCCTGAATTTTTGTATTCTACAACAAGGCTAATTAGGGACAAAATGAATATTCATTAGTAGAGTTTATAATATATTATAGAATTCTTTCTTTTATACTTCTTTATATGAAATATATATGCACATGTGTCACATTCTAATTTAATAGGAAAATTGGAAGATATTTCATAAATATTATGGGCTGAATGTTTATGTACCCTAAAATCATATCATATGTGCAAATATACTCTAGAACCCAATAGTTATGATAGTAGAACTTTGGGAGATAGTTAGGACACCAGAGTGTAGGACTTTGGGAGATAGTTAGGACACCAGAGTGTAGTCTTCATAGAGGTGACAATTACACTTGTAAGAGAAATGTTAGAGAACTCTAAAGGATTTTTCCCACAATATAAGGTACAATGAAAGAGAACAGTTTGACAGGTTACAAATGAAAGAGGTCTGTTACCAGGTCCTGACCATGCTGACACTGTAATTTTACGTGTCAGACTCCAGAACTGTGAGAAACACAGATCAATTGTTTGTAAGTCTTTGAGTTTAGGATGTTTTATTTTAACTGCTAAAGTAAGAAAATGACACTATCTAAAAAAACATGAGTAAAAATTTAACTGACAGTTTGAAAAGTCAAATATCTTTTTGAATATTGTATTGATATTTGCTCAGTATGTTCTGATAACCATCCAGGAACCAGGATTTAGTTAGGTAACTATATAAACTGAACTTCAAAGAGCAACCCAATTATCATTGTCCTCTGGAAATACTTGTTTCTCATTCTATTTTGTAGTAAAATAGACTCATTCTACAATATAAGAACTTGGACATTATGCTCCAACTATTATCCTTTCAAATAAAATTGATGATGTTTTTCTCCTTTACTTTATTAACTCTTTTTCAAGTTTTATTAAGAATAATCTCTATTATGGCTGGAACGATAGCACAGCGGGTAGGGCGTTCGCCTTACAAGCGGCCAACATGGCCGACCCGAGTTCGATTCCTCCGCCCCTCTCGGAGAGCCCGGCAAGCTACCGAGAGTATTGGATATGCCAGACACAGTAACAACAAAGTCTCCAATGGAGACATTACTGGGCCGCTCGAGCAAATCGATGATCAACGGGAGGGCCTTTACCTTTACCTTTACCTTTTAATCTCTATTATAAATGTCATGCTTTCCAGACATTTTTATAGTATTGAAGGAACGAGATCTCTTGACATAACTTCTGTTACATCTTAGTTGCCTTCTCTAGCAAAAGCTGTACATTTCTTTGTCTTAAGAATGTTGTATTATCAAAACTACCATGAAATCTAATGTTTCTTATGAACTTTATTATAAACTTGGTTATTCTATATAGCAAGATATAAGGTATAACCCATTTTATACCTCATACTAGAATATTTCTCTTTGAAACTAGACTATGTCAGTCAAGATTTATCATTAACATAAACCCCATCATATACAACATATATATATAAATATTTTTTGAAACAATGAATTTAGTCCCAGCTAGGATGGAATCTGGTCAAGTGATAGTTATTCTTTTTTGAATTCCAAAATTTGCCATCAATCATGCATATGATTTTTTCCATATCACATTTACTTTTCCATATCAGATTTACTTTAATAACTCAGTCCTGAATTTTGCTGAGGGTAGCACTTCATGTAACCCATGATTAGTAATTCCTAATGACAAATAAAGCCATAAATATGATGCATGAAATTATTGTTAATTGGAAGTTCAGACAAAAATGGAAGTTCACCCCATTTTTCAAGCTTCAACCATAAATTTCAGTAAAAGAGTTTTAATCTATTTCCTTATAGTTACTCCATGATACCAACATGTAATATTTATTTATAAGTTATTAGGATGAAAATTTATTGTGATAAAATATCATTCTTAATCCATGTGTTGCATACACATCCAATTAAGTGGAATGGGAACATTTGTTTGGATTTTAAATTAAAAAAAAATTCCTAACTATTTCACCCTGATAAATATAAAAGAGAGATGTCTAAGATATATAGGGCAAAAGCCCAAAACATTTTTTATATTTATTTATTGAATCACTGAAGCGCCTGTTCCTCGCCAGGGCCCCTTGGAGGGGAGCGGGTTGAGCTTTCCTCCCCGCCCCGACCAGGGCTCCGGCAGCCGAAGACCTCCAGGACCAGCCACCACCATGCTGAGACCACTCTCCGCACACCTGAAGGTACCGGCAGAGGGACAAAGCCACGCGGGTTCCGGGGCCGAGATCTACAAGCCTACTCGAATTGGAGTCGAGCATCTTCCACCCAGATCCTCCAAATTCCAGTAGGCGGGGGTCACACCCACCACCTGGCCCCCTGGCGCCATGTAATTCCATCAGCGGCCAAGACTCAGAGACTATAAAATCCAGATCCCGGACGAGAACAGTGCAGTCTTCTGCCCCCGCGCCTGGGTGTTCCTTCCCGGGGCCCCTTGGAGGGGAACGGGTTGAGCTTTCCTCCCCGCCCCGACCAGGGCTCCGGCAGCCGAAGACCTCCAGGACCAGCCACCACCATGCTGAGACCACTCTCCGCACACATGAAGGTACTGGCAGAGGGACAAAGCCACGCAGGTTCCGGGGCCGAGATCTCCAAACCTACTC